TCATATATCTTTATTTAAATTCAAGAGACACTTATTAAGCACTCACTATGTGCAGATCCTTATGGTAGGCACTAATAGCGATGTGAATTTTAGATGAGACAGAGTCCCTGCCCTCATAGAGCTTACAGTGTGGTATGGAGACAAAACAAATACACAAATAATTTTTTATTATAAAGTTAATAGCCAATAACAAGGACAAATAACCAAGGAAACATACAGAATGAGGGAAAAAAATCTTACTTAAGATCTTTAGTACTTTAGTAAAATAAAACCAAAAACTTAACAGAAAATAAACAAAAATGTTTGCTTTGCATCTCTTTCCAAGTTCAGCTGAAGTTTCACTATCTTTGTCTTTATTTTTTCCCAAATATAGTTTTAGTGAATGTGCATGCAGTTCTGATTCTAATAATCCTGCCTTTCATTTTTTCATGTTGGTTTGATTTATTTTCATATTTCCTTGTATGCTTTGTAGTAATTTTAATAGCATCACAATATTACATTACGTTAATATATGTCTGTGGTGCTGTGATTTTATCAACATAGGTACTCTTTCCAATAGTGCATATAATAAGCCATCCACGCCTTCTTATGCATGCTCTTTCATAAAACCTCCCTTGTTAGGGATCTGTAGGACGCTGAGGACCACAGGCTGTTCATGTACTAACACCCGAGAGGGGCCTTCGCCCATCAGTGAAGTCTCATGAACAGCCTGTGGTCCTCAACGTCCTACAGATCCCTAACACTCCCTAAAAGAATCACCCAACATGCCGGGTGCCTTCCCCTAGGTCTTTTTGCATTCTATGGGTACCATTGAAGCCTTTGTGCTTCCATCTATCATCCTTTGTTGTAATTACATGATCAGCCCATCTTCTTTCCAGGTTATATTGTGGTAGGAGCAATATCCTAACCCTCATGCAAGTTAGGCTAATTTTTCCTTTAAAGGTGTTGGTTGGCTCAGGGGACTAAAGTCTTAGGCTGTTAACATTGCTTCCTAGTCAACTGAGTATCAAGCTCCCACAAGGAGTTCTCAGATAGTTGGCTGATGGATGATGATGGGCAGCTCAAGTGAGGATACTTCTCTTAGCTAAATCAACTTGAGGTATCCTCAGTTCCTGTCCTCCTTCCATATCCTTCTCTTGCTACGGATAAATGAATCTCTTTGGATTAACTGTTGCATGTCTCCTTTTTTTCATTAACAAGGCTTCATTAATAGAGCTTCTTCACCAGGGAACTTGCTGTAACAATAAAACAGGAGGCTGGTCCCTATCCTTCTATTATATTTTTAGGATAAAGTCCAATCAATGAAATTGTTGGGTCAAAAATCAGTTTTGTCACTTATTGTACATATTCAATTTCACTGTCAAGTTAACTTCGGGTGAAAGATTCTGAAAGACTACAGTCAACTACCAAGAGAGCTTGTGTCTCTGAGGGACTCAGAGAATCAACCGTCATCTTTGAGGGGGGTCTGAAGAGACATTTTTGAGATAACTGAGTTTACTTCTTATCCTGTAGAGAACACATCCCAAGAATTCCTTAGAGATTTTAACTGCTATCCTCAGGGAACTGAATTATTGGCCTGAGATTCCAGTGTTTTGGAGAAGTCAGAAGTTGTTGCAGCCATTAGTAAAAAGGTGACTGTAGCTGTGACCTTTCTCACAGCTGAAACATCGTTGAAATATTTATCTATGTCTTAGTATTATTTGTTACTGTTAATAGATCACGTAGCTAGTAATATCGATGCTTGTCTAACCACGAGACCAGAGCTTGAGATTCAGTAAGTAGAAAAAGCTTGTATGAAAAGTATAAAAAGGCTTGTTGTTCTTATAAAGTAAGGTGACAGCTTGGAGATAATCAATAATTAGTATGAGAGATTTTGCATTTTTGAATACTTTCTGGGGTAATTCCCATTCATACCTATTAGATTGCCTTTGAACCCAGTGAGAGAGAATTAAAAGGTAACAATCAAATAAGCAGGTTAAGGGGAGGGGTTTGGGGATTTTTGTCTTCAAGAGCACCTGAGAAGTATTGCTCACACCCTGTATCACCTTACACCCCACAAAGGTGGTTGTTGTGTGTGTGATCTTATTCATGGGATAGCTACATGTGGAGTAGCAAAGATTTTCTTATACATATAATACTCACTTCATCTAAACCTTCTACACTTTGATGGTTATCTTCTCTCTGAAGAGCAACTGATCTTATTCAGCTAACTGAAAGTTAAATATTCATGTGTTCAGTGTGGGAAAAATGCAGAAGGTGGTGGAGAGCAAACAAAAAACAGAGCCAGGGGTTCCTATAAACTGCTTTTTTTTTTTTCCTCTTCAACCAAATAATCAGCAGACATTTACTGAATGTCTGCAACTACTGTGTTAGAGGGCCAAGGACAGATCCTTAGGGAACACCCATAGTTAAACGGTGTGAACTGGAGGAACCAACCTAGCAAAGGAGACTGAGCAGGTGTGGTCAGAGAAATAGGAGGAGAGCCAATGTTATGAAATGTTATGAAAGCTGAGAAAGGAGAGAGAATGAAGATATAGGTGACAGTTTCAAAGGTTGCAGAAAGGTCCAGAACAATGAGGATCCGGAGTAGGACATTAGATTTGTCAATTAGGAGACTGTTGGTATCTTTGGAGAGCAATTGCAGTTGAATGGTGAGTTCAGAAGCCATAATGTAGTGGCTTTAGAAGAAAGAGAGGAGAGAAAGCACAGTTCTGACCATGTCACCCTCACTACTCCAGAAACTCCAATGTCTCCCTATCACTGCCAGGATCAAATGCAAAATCCTATTATTGGCATCCAAAGCCCTTCATAACCTAACCCTCTTCTACCTTTCCAATCTTCTTTTACCTTATTCCCAACCACATATCCTTTGATCCACTGATAATGGCCTCCTGGCTGTTCCACAAACAAAGCACTCCATTCTTAGCCCCGGGCTTTTCTCTGGATGCTCCCCAGGCTGGGAATACTCTCCCTTCTCATCTACACCTGCTGCCTTTCCTTGTTTTCTTTAAATTCCAATTAAAATGTCATCTTCTGGAAGGAAGTTTTCCCTAACCCCTCTTAATTCCAGTGCCTTTCCTCTCAATTATTTTCTATTTATCCTGTATAGAGCTTGCTTTGTATTTATTTGTTCAAATGTTATCCCACCCAGTAGATTGTAAGTTCCTTGAGGGCAGACACAATATCTTTTGCCTCTTTTTATAGCCCTAGCACTTAGTCTGGAACTTAGTAGGTGCTTAATAAATGTTTATTGACTGGCTCACTAAAGAGTTTACAATGTAGTTGTGAAGACAAAACCGACACGCATGAATTAGTTTAAAGAGAGAGCTATACAATTTGGAACTGCGCCCAAAGGGCTATAAAACTGTGCATACCATTTGATCTAGCAATATCACTGCTAGGTCTATATCCCAAAGACATCCCAAAAAAGGAGAAAAGAACCTATTTGTACCAAAATATTTATAGCAGCTTTTTTTTGTTGTGGCTAAGAATTGGAAATTGAGGGGATGCCCATTAATTGGGAAATAGCTAAACAAGTTGTGGTAGATGACTGTAATGGAATATTATTTTGTTGTAAGAAATGTCAAGCAGGATGATTTCAGAAAAACCTGGAAAGACTTACATGAACTGATGCACAGTGTAGTGAACAGAACCAGGAGAATATTGTACACAGTAACAGCAATATTATTCAATGAAGAATTGTGAATGACTTAGCTAGCTATTCTCAGCAATCCAACGATCTAAGACAATCCCAAAGGACTAATGATGAAGATTGAATACAGACTGAAGCATGCTATTTTCTGCATTCTTTCTTTATTTTTTTCTTTTATTCAAGTCTTCTTGTACAAAATGACTAATATGGAAATGTTTTACATAATTGCACATGTATGACCTATATCTGATTGCTTACCATCTCAGGGAGGGGGAGGGGATGGAAGGACAGAATTTGGAACTCAAAACTTTAAATAAAAACGTTTAAAATAATTTTAAAAAAGAGAATACTATAGTTTTGAGAGTGATCCTATTTTCCATGCCAAAAAATTGCAACATATGGCCTGGTAAAGAATATCACTTTTTGCACAAATGTCCTTTAAAATGCAATTGTTATTTTTGAGATTAAGAGTGTCCTAGAAAAACCTGGGTGATGGTTGCCATAGCCATAGTACAAACTGAAACCAGAAGGGCTGAGGGAATGTAAAGGAATGAGTAGGATGGGGAGGAGGTGAAAGCCCAGAGACCTATATTTTTTTGTTCAGGTAGGATCATTATTGCAGGTGTGCAGAATCTGGTCTTCCTAATTTCCCGTATTTTTTTTCCCCATTCATCTGTAGACAATTCTTCCCTTTCATCATGACCATGATGAACCAGGAGTCAACCTCCTCCCACATTTACTGGCTAAAAACGATGTGAAAGTGCAGAGACCTGATTTTTGTTCAAGTAGGATTATTACTGCAGGGCTAGACAATCTACTGTAGCCTAGTTTCCTTGAGGGCCCAATTTTCTGTATTTTTTTCCTCATCTGTAGACAATTCTTCCACCTCATCACGACCACCTTGGGCCAGGAGCCACCGTACTCCCTGCATTAGCTGCCTAAAAACGAAGAAAACCGTCAACTACCAGCAGCTGCCAAATGAGCCATCCTGGAGCTGTGGCTCATCACGCTCCCCTAACTAGAAGAGGTTCTGAGGCTAGCAGAAAAGGCGGGAAAAGGCAATCAACTACAACTCCCGGCAGGCTGCGCTCCCAGCGTGACGTCATCGCCTGACCTCGCCTCCCTCTCAGTCGGCCCGTGTCCGACCTCCCCCGCACAGAACGCTCCCAGTATAAACTACACTTCCCGGGAAGCCTCGCGCCACCCAACAGCCCTCCTCTTTCTGTCCGGCTCAGAGAACGCCATCGGCCGGGCGCGCGCTCTAGCTCGCTGGCTCGGCAGCCCGAGGGGAGGGAGCGTGTGAGGGAGGGGAGGATTGGGCTTGGGGGAGGGGGCGGGGGTACGGCTCGCTCGCTCGCTCGCAAGATGGCGGACGAGGACGGGGAAGGGATTCACCCTTCAGTCCCTCAGCGGAACGGCGGCGGCGGCGGCGGCGGGTCCGGGCTCCTGGGCGCCGGGAACGGCGGCGGGGGCGGCCCGCGGGTGGTGCGCATTGTCAAGTCTGAGTCCGGCTATGGCTTCAACGTGCGGGGCCAAGTGAGCGAGGGCGGGCAGCTGCGGAGCATCAACGGGGAGCTGTACGCGCCGCTGCAGCATGTGAGCGCCGTGCTGCCCGGGGGGGCGGCCGACCGGGCCGGGGTGCGCAAAGGGGACCGCATCCTGGAGGTGTGAGTATCGGGGCCCCCGCCCTCGCCCCCCGGGGCTCCGTCCCTGCGGCGCCCCCCACCCTGACCCCAGCACTGCTCCCCCGGCGGGCCCACCTCTCCGCTCCCCCCCCCGGGGCCGGCCGGCCGGGACCCGAGCCCCCGTGCCGGCGGCCCCCCCCCGCCTCCTCCCGGTGCCGTGACAGTGAGCGGCTCTGCCGTGTCCCCCGGGGGGGCTCCCGGCTGTCCTCTCCCTTCTCCTTGGAGCCCTCCTCTGCCCTCCTCTCCCCTGCTTTCTTTTGTCTGTGTTGGAGTCCTCCTTTTGGGCACCCTTGGGTCCCACTTGTGCCGGTGGCATTTTCCGTTCCCTTGCCCTACATCCTGTTCCTGTGTCCCCCCACCCCCCAGTCTCCCAAGTTTCATGCCTTTGCCTTTCGGTACAGTTTCGTCCCTTCCCTCCCCCTCCACTGCAGCCCCTGCCTTTTCAAGTTCGCTACTTCATCAGCCTCATTGCAGCCCCTACACTTCGGGGGGCTGTTGCATTGTCAGTCCAGTGTTAGATCGGAACGGCAGGGGATTCGATTTATGTTTGAAGGTTTAAAGACTCTGTGTGTGTCTGTTTTCTGTGTCTGTGTGTGTGTCTAGTGCTCATCGGGGGTCTGGGTGTAGGTAGTACTCCCATTGCCTCCATTCCTTTCCCCCTTGTGTCCTTCACTACTCTTTCTGTATCGCCTGTCTTTCTCACGCCTTTTCTCTTGTACATCCTTCTCTGACTGGCTTGCGTCCTCCTCCTTTACTAGGATATTCTGTCTTTGATTTCACATCCTTCCTAAATTTCCTTTCAATCACAAAAATCCTTCCCTACCTTCAGGCCTTCACCTGGTAGAACTGTTGGTTAGGCCAGGTTTTTAGAGGCAGACAGTATCCTGAAGGTGTGTCTGGAGAATGGAGTAGCCTCTCCCTCCTTAAATGTTTGGCTCCTTCTGTGGTACTTTCCCCTCAGAGGTCTTCAACCTTCCTATCTCAGTGATAGTGACCTACCATGTTAGGAGTTTAGGGTTAGAAACCTTCCCCCTGGATAGATGAATGTTTTATTTTTTCCCTCCACTGTCACCAGCTTTACAGATAGTTCTCCTCTTCCCCAGCTTGGTGTGTCAATATATCAGTCTTGTGGGCATTAGGGCACTAAGACCTGTATTGCAGTGGTGATCTTTCTTTTTCCATTACCTGAGCCCAGAATTCTGTTCTTTCCAGACCATAGAAAATCTATGACTATTATTCTCTTCTGTCAGCGGCCCTTGGGAGGTGTCAGTTTCCTTTCCTTGTGGAAGTTCATGTTGGGTTCATTCTCATTTATTTTTGATTTTTCGAAGTCCATGCAGCTTCCCTGGGCACCATATAATGGAAAAAAGTGGCAGTTGTATCACAGAACTGAACAAATTGGGAAACCATCTTCAAACCTTGTCTATACAACTTCCCCTGTTCCAAATTCAAATTTTGCTCTTTCTTGTACTTTCTTTGGTCATGCTGAGTAAGAGTAATAAATCAATTGCTAGGTAGACATGACTTTCCTCCAGCTTTTTTGGGGAAAAAAAAGTTAATATGTTTTGTTTTTATATCTCCTTCATTTCTGAATATAAACCTCCTTCATTCCTTCTAAGCACAGAATTTTTTTAAAAAAAGGAAAAATAACAGTTCAGCAAAATTAACCAGCACTTCAACTGAGTCTGACTGTGTATGTGCTCTTCCACATATAGTCCCACATTTCCACAAAGGGGAGAGAGGTGCATTTTTTCATCTCTTCTTTGGGACCTTGCTTAGTCATAATCACTTACCATTCAGTTTTTTTTGTCTTTGTTCTTTCCATTTACATAACATTAATCACATATATTGTTTTTCTGATTCTGCTTCCTTTAGAGTCAGCATCAGTTAATATGAATCTTCCCAAGCTCTTTAGAATTCATGTTAATATTTCTCATGGTACAATAATGTTCCATTACGTTCATATGCCACATTTTATTTAGCTCTTTTCTACTTCATGGTAACCTACCTTGTTTCCAGTTTTTTGCTACCACAGAAAGTGTAGCTATGAATATTTTGATGTATATGGGGAGATTTGACTTCTAAAGGGTAATTTCTGATTGCTAGAGGAAGAAGGGCCCAGCACAGATTTCATTTCCTGGTTTTGATCATGGTTGGTGAACATGTTTTTTTTCCTATAAAAGTTTATATGCTTATTCCCAGAAGCATTCCATTTCTTCCTCTGTAAAGTATTTAAGAGAGCTCCTCTATCTTTCAGATGAGTTCTTTGGTTTATCATATCTTGCTCAGAAAAGCTTTGCTTGTTGAAATCTCGAGCGGGGTCAGGGCTGAGGATAGGTAATCATTGTGTAGCTGTGGTTTGAATTGTGCTTACATTTACATCTTGATCCTGTGAATTTCCATGTAACTAAGTTGTTGTTTTATAGGGGGTTTTTTTTGTTTTTTTTTTGAAAGAATTACAGTTGTGTTTTTCCACTTTGTACAGTTGTTTGGACAGTTTATAGTGTTATGAGTGGGCAGAGGAACTTATAATTTAGGACTAAAAGGTGTGCAAGTTTGGATATAAGTGAAATTACTTTTAAAAAATCTATTCACAAAGGCTCTTTTTACACTGGAATATGGTAATATAGTGTTTGGGTTAAGTTTAGCCAGAATGGTTCACTTTCTACTCCTTCTCTACAAAACAGTATCTGATTTAGGAAATTGTTCTATTGTAGGGTTTGGTAATTGAAGTACCAGTAGGTCTCCTGGGCTCTAAATCTTCAGATTCAAAGCCTTCCTGTTTAGCAAACTTGTAATCTTTCCCAATGTAACATGTGTTGAAAGTGTGTCCTTTGTTGTGAATGCATCCACAGTTTAAAGAGTGAAGAGGGCATCCAAAAAACTGAACCAAAATAATTATGTCTTTGCACTGTTATAGTATGGAAAAGAACTGTTGACTTCAGGGTAATTTTCTTTGGATTAATGTATTTCTCAAGGTTCTGGACTGATTTTCTTGTTGCCTTGAGGAAGGCTTTGGGTATGGAATTTGTGGCTTGGATATGGAATTGAGATTTTTCTTCTATATTTTTGAGGGCTTATCTTTGACACTTGGTGAGTTTGTCTTGGTCTCTTGGGTATGTGTTGGGTAGATCTGGTCTTGTAGGGGTAGAGTTTCCAGCTTTCAGAGTCAGTAGGTCTGTTAATATAGTAAGTGAAGGTCGTGTTAATGCTTTGTCATGTTGGATTAGGTTGATTGGAGTCCCACTGAGATGGGCAATTGCCAGTCACCATAGTGTTTGTCTGTGGTAGTACATAGGAAAATGTACCTTTTATCTTGGATCTTTAGCCCCTAAACAAAAGTTAAAGCATTAGGAAAATGCCTACTGAAAATCAGTTGATTTTTATAACTTTTTAAAGAGGATTTCCAGGTCATAAATAGTTTTGGCTTTATTCTATAAGAATGTCTGTGGAGGAAAAGATGGCTCTTCAAGAAGTGTCCATTGCAAGTCAAGTTCAAGAACAAAATCTTAACTGATTAAGGCCTCTTAAAAGAGCTGCTTTCTCCAGCATGGCATGATTCTGCTCTCCAGTTAGTTTTGACAGAGGGAAATATCTGTGTATTATACGACTGGGATTCCGGATTCAGTCCTTATTGTCATGTTCACTATGGGAAAGGAACCAAGGCTCTATTTAGAAAATTGATTTAATTGTTGTGTTCCTGTGTTCTAATCTGGGTAGAAAAGCAGTTAAATATTGCATAGAATGGGATAGTAGACTGACTGTAGTATCAAGATTAACTTCACTTTTGTAGCTCTACCTGTATCACTTCCATGATTTAAGATGCTGCACCCATCAACTTATTTCTTTATTTTACTCTAAACAAAGTTCCTAGAAAAGTTCTAGAAAAATGGCGACACAGTATTTAGTAGGTTTATTTGGTTCTCCTACTATTCTTTCCAAAGACATGCCATTTTGACCTCTTTGGAGTTCAACTGTGTTTTTGTAAACTCAGGTAGGAGGAGAATTTTGGTGGGCAACCAGATACTGTCAGATAATTTAATAGCTTTATGTTTATGTCTTTATCCTCCTAATTATTCTCTTAAGTTGTGTGAGATAGATGACTTAATAGATATTTTGTGTCCTTGTTATATTTACTCAACTGACTGATGGTGAAGGAACTATATCATAATTATAAACCCAGGAAATAACTTAGTTTTGTAGGGAGAGTGGAAAACAATAAAACTAAATCCAGAAATAGCCTATACTTTCCTTTCAGAAGCAGCTCACATAGCAGGGCTAAGACTAGGAGGAGGCCCTTTGTGAATATACATACACATTTGCCTCTGTGTATGGATGAGGTGGGTATTCTGGGACCAGTTCTCTTTCCAGTCATGTTGGCTTGGGACACCTTGCTTTCAGATGGTGTCTACGTTTGTTTCTGATGTGGACTTGTTAACGTATCCCCTGAGGCCACAAATTACTTTGAAATGAGTCTCATTGGGAAATCCTATGATCCGACACAGAAGTACAGTGACTTAATTGACACAATGAATTCATTGTGATGCTTAAAACCTGTGTACATCATTGCTATTTAACTACAGTGGTTCCGTCTGTGCCTGTTAAAGCTCATTTGGTTAGAACTTAGTATTAATGAATCTCAGGTTTAATCTGAGTCAGTTAGATTCACTTTACTGTACCCCTAATTCTGGCTGACTCTCTGAAAGTGGAAACTGTTAGGCAAACAGGAGAAATACCTTAGGTATATGGCCCTATACCCTCACAACCAGAATAATAGCTCAAGGGAGATACTCTACCAGCTTCCCTAAGGAGTCTATCCAGTGGTCCTGTTTTCTCTCCATATTCTCTCCCTTAGCATTCTAATTCACTCCCATGGCTTCAGCTGCTCCCTCATAGAAATTGACTCTCATACCTCTGTTTTCAGTCTGCAACTCATTTCTGAGCTCCAGACCCATACCTCCATCTTCTTACAGGATATTTCC